AGATGTAAGCTTTAGGAGGCTTATGGTATCTGCCAGTGAAGAGGGTCACTACAGGGGACAAAGCTGCAATGACATAAAGAGCTGAAAGCAGAAGCCAGTTAGAAGAAGACATGTAGAGCTAAGAAAGGCCAAAAGGACAAAATGGAGGACAACAAAAGGGATTAAAGTGGCAGCAACAGTAAGAAGCAGAAAAGATATGATTTATTTCTTTCTTTTTTAGCTCCCTGGGAAAAATGAAGGATGGGTTTCCCCCTTCTTTCCATTTCTTCAACAAAAATGAACTAAACCAGAAAAAAAATCTCACAAAACCCCAAAGAAATAAAATACCACAGATGCAAGACAGTGAGCCACTGACTCCACAGTAAGTCTAGAGATGGTGACTACTGCCTTGTGACCTAGGACGCTTGGTTTCAAGGTCCTATCTCAGATGAGAAGGGGATTTGAAATGTGGTCTCTCACTTCCCAGAGTTTTATTGTGTGGGCTGCTGAAACTAGAGGCAGATCGATATACCTCCTGTCTGACCGGTGTCCGCTACACATCTCCTGTCCACATGTCCCATCTCAGGGTGGAGGAGTGGGACTGATGTAAAGCACTGTGAGATCACATGTATGGGCAGACCCGGGAGGCTGGCAGCCAGGAGCTACTGTCAAGATCTACGGGGTTTGCACACCCAGTGGGACTGACTGCACGATCAAACAAAACGTCATTGGACTGAATATCAGATCTGAGGTTTTCTGGGAGGGGGAGCTACATCCTCGGTTGGGTCCTAGGATGTGTACCTAAGTCTAGTTTTTAATAACATTTGAAAATATCACCCAGTAGCTTTAACTGGTCCAACTTTTGTAGGTGCTGCTAGGCTCAGTCAAAACTTCAGTATGTTTGTTCATTTTTTTCTAATAAGTCAGAAGTGTCGAGGAGTGAGCTGTTTTAATAGGCATTGTGGTTTGCAAAGACAGTATGTCTTATAGAACAAAACATGCTAGAGTGCAGGTCAGTGACACTGCTGTGTGATTTATTACTCAGGGTTTTGTCCATAGCAGAAATGTAACTATGTTGTGATTTAGAGGAAAAAAAATATCTGTTTTTACTTAAGTTTTCCACTTTTCCTAGTTATCCTAAAATTGTTCAGCTATGATCAGTGAAGAAATAACTTAGTTACCAGTTCTCTGTTATTTAAATCTGAAATATGTTAAATATGTGTGCTAAACATTTTTCTCTTCAATCTGGCCTCCTACAGAAGCACTGCAGCTGGGCAGAGCACTCCCAGCTCTGTCAACAGGAGTGTTACCATTGCTTCAGTGGGAACAAGGCTGAGCTCATAAATCCAGGGTGAAGACATTTCTGTCTCTTCCCTCTGTTCTTGGTAGTGTTTTTGTTCTTCTCCATCCAACATCATGCTTAGTCACCATCAGCAGGTAGATTGTGTAATATCCGTTCAGAGACAAGTGTACTGAAAACAGTTCCCTAGGTCAAGGTCATAGCTTAGCTCCTAAAGGAAAAATACTGCCCTAAAAGAGTGCCCTCAGGGGGAAGGCTGTTTTGAACTTAGAAACATGTTCTGTCCTTGCTTTCCAATGCAACACAAGAGCAAGGCTCAAGAACCCATTGTAACTCTGATTCACATTCATCCATGAAGAAAAAGGGCTTTTTATTTTACAAAACATGATGCCTTGAGGGTTATCTTCTCATAATAATCTGTGTCTGTAGTCCCTAATCTTTTCCAGCCTTAGCACCTGCAATCCATACTTAAGGTGACTAATTATTAGAGAGGCCTGTTTTTTGGAGGTGTTGGACTCTATGGCTTCCTTTAAGTCTTTTTTTTTTTACACTGTGGTACTATTGCAATGTAAATATGCATAAAGAAACTTTGCATATGAAGAGACTTGCTAACAAACAATAATTCACCATTGTTGCCACTAGAGGATAAAATTAAACAACATTGAATTATTTTCAAAGTATATATATATATACACTAGAACAGAAAACTAGCTGTATCATTAAACATTAAACTCCAGTAGACTTGGGAATCTATTGGAGAAACAAATGAAAGAGCAAGCCCTGTAAACAAAAGAAATACTGTGGGTTTTTTTCATTTTGCCCCAATGGATATACTAATATGTGAAGTGCAATAATAGCAGTGTAGTTTTGTATGTGTAGTTTATTGTATGTAGTTTCATATTCCCTAACACTCTGGCTCTTAAAAATTAGAGACAAGGTTTTCTTTGGGAACGTTATTCAATAGGCAATAATGTGTAGTTTAGCGCTATATAGGTCTGCTTGAAGTCCCTTGGTATTCTAACTTATAATTAACAATAATACTGTTATGTAGAGTATAGGGCACATTTCAGAAAACCCTTGAAGCACCAATTAATTCTATTAATAATAAAAATAATAAAAGGCTATCAGAGCAATATTGTGACTTTTGCAAATTCATGAGAACCTAAATTACTGTGCAATAAGTGCTGTACAGTCTTTTGTATTTCTTTTTAAACATTCCAAAGAGAGGAAGTAGAAGTCATTTTTAAAACCCTGAAAGCCCTTAGTTTTGTGCATCTGTCTGCCTGATACAGCTTCCAGGACTTGCAAAGGCCCAGTCAAAATCAAATCTGTGTTACCACTCTGGGCAATTTGTTTCCCTCCACTGAGGAAAGTCTCTGGGATTTTATTGGCACCAACTAGTTCCATGAATTTGGCAGGGCAGCAGCTTTGTTTTCTGGAAAACTTTCCCAGCATTTACTGTGTTCTGAATCTTAGAAAGTTTTGTGTTGCAGTTGGCACAAACCCAAAGACTTTTTAGATGTTAAGCAGCCATGTTCCCCAGATTCCTCTTGCATTTGATGTAGCCCAAACCAGGGCCTGAGAAGGACTTTCCCAGCAGCTACATCCCTGGCCTGCTAAGGGCTGGAACTTGGTCCAGTTGGCCTTTAATGACCTTTCCACTTGGCCTAGCATCATGGAGGAGGTCAACCTAAAGGGGCACTTAGGGGTATGACAGCTGAGGCTGAGTTTTGGCAGAATACTGGCATGGGGTATCAGAGGGTATCAGATGGGCAAGGAATCCAGCAATGAAAAGCAGGCATGGAAGACAGAAGAATTCTATGTCTTGTAAGGAAGGAAGCCCCTAGAGGCCAGATTGGAGAAGACATTAGATGGAGACATTTGAAGACCAAGGAACTGGATTGGCTCAGGTGGGAGGCCAGAGTGACTTTGAGAGGTGGTTGAGAGAGACAGAAAAGCAGAAACAGTATCAAGACTTTCTGAGACCAGGATGAGAAGCCTGGAGAAAGAACAAGTGGAACTGGCTATCTGGGAAGGTACAAATAAACAAGAGACAGAACTGGGTCATTTGGATTAAGCGTTGGGTCATGTGACCAGACTAATCTGTGCTTGTCCCAGGGGTAGAGGAGGGTTTTACACTAACCTTGCACTTGCCTGATCTTAGTTCACCCCCTGGCACAAATCATGGATGCTGATGAAATGCCTGCAAGCTCAAGGGGAATAGCAGCACATCTGCAACCATGCCTATTTTATCTCAAAAGCAGCTTGGGATCTACATCAGCCAGGAGCTCCCTCGTTGCCAGAAGAACCTGTGGAGGACAGACAAGCAGCCTGGGTAACAAACAAAAACAAATACCAGAACATTAACTAAACATCAAACCAAGTGAACATGCCTTAGCTGGTGACCTGAGGGGCAACATCGGTCTACTGCCTGGCTACAACAGAAAGCCAGATCTGAGGACAAGGCTGTTCTGAGAAACTCTTTAGAGTTTCACTTCGGGAATCATTAGCAAAAACATCCTAATTCCTTTGAAATCCTAAGAGAGGTTGTAAAACCACAACTCCACTCTTGCATTTTTTAGCATAACACAGCTGCTATTGGTTAGTCTGTCTCATAACATTGGCTTGGGCCATGCTTCTGCTTCTCTGCCATCTTAGACATAAAATATTACAAGTTTCAGTGTGTGAGAAAGAAATGCAAAAGCTTCCCTTGCCTCTGTCCCTAATTTGCAGCTTCTTTTGAGCAGGATCTCTCCCCTTCCGGGTAATTAGGGGACTGGGCTGCAAAACCAACATAGCCAGGAAACTGCACATGCTAAAGCCACACAAGTGCAGGGATAAGTGTGTGTATGCGGTAAATCTGTTCTGGGTCCCTGCTGCTGACACACCATAGATCACTTAAAAGTGTTAAACTCTGCCTAAAGATTAAGTAACAGACAGCAGTAGAAACCACCATGAGCATTATGCTTTTGGCATCACTTCTTGACTGGTGCTTCAGAAAGAGCTGCTGTGAGCTAAATTATCATTTTGCCAATACAGCTGTCAGGAAGACACCCTTCTTGACTCCCATGCAGCAGTTCCAAAACTAGAACCAGAAAATCCATACCCCCTCAAAGAACACAGCTGAGCATTGAGGACCTCCAATGCAACAGTGAGGTGCATTTACAATCTGGGACAAACGCATTTTGAACCAAAACTTCAAAACAAACTGTCATTAATTAGTAATCTCTAGAGGCTGACCTCCCTCCTTGGTGCCTCTCACTATTTCCTCATCTCCCCAGCTAGCAGCAAAAACATTCCTGATTGCATCAGTTTTGATTACTCTTTAGATGAGGAGATTCTCCTTTGGCTAACCAGGATTGCACTCTATGTGGCCACTAGGACTTTGTCACTTAAGGAACATCAGCAACCCTAGAAGGTTTGAAAGCTACACAAAAGAATATGGTCAGGAAGAGCTGTGGCAGGATGAAGAAAGATTCTCCCTCCCTTCTTTGTTCCAGGCTTTCAGCCATGATAAATTAACATTGACTCTCACATAGAGGCACTTCTTAATTTGTACCTGATGTCTCCTTTAAAAGGCAAAAAGAATCACAAAACAAAGAACGAATACCTTGGAAGGAAAGAGGAAATCTAACAGGCACTATAGTCAAGTGTGTGATTTATTGAAACCAGCTGTTCCCACAAGAACTATGTGACAGCACTAATTCCATAGGTAGTTCAGTCAAGCTTCTTCAATTGTCAGTTCATGTTCAGTTGCTTCCTCGATGTTTTTAAGTTGACGAAGCACCCATTCTCTTTGTTTCTTTCTCTGTTATAGAAAATAAAATATTATTTAGTCAGCCTAATCCATTCAGTTGTCACCTGCTTTAAAAAAAAACCTAACTCAAAACAAAACACCAAGACCCAAACATAACACACAAAACATTATGAACCCAACTGGATTTTGGCTGAAGTTTTCCATTTGTTTTAAGCTAAGAAGCCTTTACTCTCAGAGTAGGCAAGTTTTCCTGGGTTTCCAACACAACTTTGAACAACATGGTACAGGGAAAAAAACCAAACCAGAACAGAATTTGATGGCTTCACACTGCCATGACAGCCTTCAGAGTCTAACCCTGTTGCCCCCCTATCCCTTCTATGGGCTGTCCACAAGTCCTTGCCATTAATCTAGTTCTGTGGAGCATGAGAACTCAATTTCCTAGAACAGAAAAATAAAGACCTGCATAAGGTCTATTAATCTAAGCTTTCCCCAGGAAAGCCTACACTGATTGAAGGACTGCACACAAGACCCCATTTGCAATGACTGGCGTTCTTTTTATGAAGCACTACAATTTGGATTAAACAGGGAAAATAGATGATTTGTTTCTCCAGTTTTAGTTAACTTGCCAATATTAAGAAACTTTGGAATTTAAATCACCGATTTCTTCCTATTCTGAAGTTTCTCCTAAAGAAACATATTTAAAAAAAAAATCTACTTTTGCACTAGTGTACACAACTAGTCCTGCAAGCTGAAGCAAGTACTGGTTTGGAAGACTGCATCCCATCCAGTCTGTGATTAGAAATGATACTACAGAGTCTAGCAGGTTATGACACGATTCATAAATGTATGTTCTCTCTGGTGAAGTTGTGGAAATGTCCCATAACTAAAATATTCCCATATTACTAGAAAGATATACACATATTCAGCATTGGTAGGAAATAGTATAGCTTAGCTATTTCATAACTAAGGGAAAGCAATTACCACAAGAGCTTTATCAGTTTTCTTCTTTCTGGTTTTTACTATCAGGACATCTTTTATCCCTGGTATTCCAGTAACAAGCCATGAAGGTCCACTCTTGGAAGTTACTGTAGTCTCCTCAGATGCTTTGGTGGGAGCTTGAGTTTCCACATTTGAGACAACCTCATCACTTGGCTCTTCATTTGATTCATCAGAGGCCAACACTGTAGAAAGCCTCCTTCTAGAAAATACAACCCGAGAGCTTTGGCTTCTCTTTTGGTTTAATTCTTGTGAGTCAAACACTGTTGAAAGGCTTTTCGGGGATGTATGAGGGATGTATGCTTCAACACGTACTAATGATACTTGAGCTAACAGTCTACTTAGGTTTGATTTTGGCACTGGAGATCCATAAACTCTCTTACTGGCATCTTGGTCCTTGATTGACTGATTTGTCAGATCTATAAGAGATGGCATTGTTCTTGAAAGCATTGAGTCCACTGGAGTGCTGTGTTTCACCATTCTCTTTTTCAGAGATCTTTTAACATTCAGAAAAGAATCTTCTTCCTCTGACATCTTGAAGTCAGGTTACCTTGAGAAAATAGGAAGAGAAAATTGTGTCATTGCTCACATAGCAAGAGATGCCACGTAAGGTGCTCAGCTGCTGCAGAAACAAATCCAAGGTGTTCCTATTTCATGTCTGCATTCTGTCTTTACATGGAATTTATCCTTTGTATAGATCAGTGTTCTTCAAAGGATTGGAAGAGCCATGTTGAAAACAGAACATTAGAAGACAGCTTGTCACACATACAAAGCTTACTTCTGTCACACCCTCTGCATGTGGAGCTCCCCATATGCTAGAAGGTTTTTTAAGACATCTCATTAACTGCAACATCATTAAGACAGTGTTTTCTCCTGAAGAGTACACAAATAATGTACTTCTGGGGTTGCAGCTGCTAACACTAGGTAGGTAGATGAAAACTCTTCCATGCCAGAGGGACTACCATAGCATAGCAAAAAGCCAAGTGCTCTAGAGAGATGTGCAGAGAAGTTTTGGATTCAAACAAGCATCTCTTACTCCAGTTGACATTTTGTTTCTCTTATTTTCTTAAAAGGGGTCTCACAAACCTCTCATTCCCTCCTACTTACTTGAGATTTGGCTTACTTCTGCTGATCCTAAACTTTGAGCCTAAACCAACTATATTCTCTGCAAGTCTGTTTTCAACTGAATTTACAACAATAGCAACGCTGGTTTTGTTAGTAGCTTTTCCCCTACATTTGTCAAACCCCAACAAAAGAGAACTTTACTTCTTATACTTGGAGAAGCCCAAGATAAATATATCCAATTTAATATATATTTAATATCAATACCTTAATTAGATGAGCAGTTAAGTACTTCTAGTAACTGTTGAACTCTTTGCTTTCATGAGGCAGTTCTGATATTTAACGCAAAGTGATTGCATGAAGCTCATCAAGGGGGCAATATGCTTTAAGTGCCCATATTCTAAGCCCTACAGATCAAAGACCTTAGCAGGTTTAGGGTGGACACAGTGATGAAAGGGGGGCACAAGAGGACAGGGAGATATGTTTACTGAAGTAAAAGACATCAGTTCTCCATTCCTTGTTAATGTTTTGCACCTGTGTAGGGTTTGAGTTTAGCAGAGTTTCACATCAATTCTAAAGAATAGGAAACTGACTCTTCAATACAGTAAATCAGGCATTTTTCAGGTTTTTTTCTCCTTAGAAAGAAGGGGAAAAGAGAAAATCCCATTATCACTTTCTTTTGGATACCCATTTCTCTTCTCACTGCTTCACAGTGCTAGCTTGTGCAACATGTTATAAATGGCAGTCAGCCTGCAGACACTGCCTTTTTCCTTTCCTGTTCAGTCAGACTGACTTCCCTCAGTCTTTGTCACAGAAGCTTACTGGTAGTAAGCTTGCATGATTAGACTTAGAGAGGGAATAAGGAGTTTGCAATCACCACCCACAAGCCTACCCTCAGCTAAACGTTTTGAGGTCTTCCCCTTACTCATTAAAGTTTAGATGGTCAATTAAAAGATATTTTTATTCAAAGTTAGTTTTTAAAGAATATTTTCAATCAAAGCTTCTGAGAAAAATAACAATTTTTTTTTACACTTTTCTATGCTTTAGAGATATATATATACACAAGCAACAAATCTTATCTGTTCAGCTATTTTAATAACGCCATTCTAGACAAAGAAGGGGTGAAACCTAAAAACAACAGAGAAAGATAAACCATTTAAGAATGTCAGAGTCTACCATGGAGAATGTATCTTGCAGTAACTCTCACAAAAGAAAACAGCCTTACCAGACCTATGAGCTTCACTGTGATACCTTCCTCCACTTCTCAGGTGGTCTGGCTTCAGCTGCTGCTTCATCTCTTATAGACCTGCTGGCCTCCCAACATCCTTTGCTGCAGAGACTCCCTAAATCACACATTTAGCATTTTTAGGAGTTTTAGCAGTGCTGCTAACTGAATAAACTACTAAATAGCAATCTAGGATTAATTAATCATAGGAAAATGGGCTAGCCAACTTATCTGCGTGCTACATTTATTGCTATTTTATCTCTGCTGCTTACTGCCTATTTCAATCACAAAAACACATCTAGTGGTTAACTGGCTTTGTATGGCTGCTTAAGGCACATTGAGGATCTGTCAGAACATGGATGTATGTTGATGGAGGTATTATGTATGTTAATGGAATATATCTGTTCCCATCCTGATTTTATTTTCTCACTGCTTCTTTTGCCCAAAATATAAATGAGAAAACAAATGTTAAATCTGCCATGAAAAAGCTCTTCTTTTAGAAAAATAGGTAGTGAGAATAAACTGACGATTATTTTGCGGCGGTCTGAATTTCACGGTGTTTGCAGCTAACAACTGTGGAAATGGTAGCATTTTATCTTGAAGCAAGTGGTTTCAAAATATCAGCTCTTAGATGAGAATTGCACTGGTCTGAAATGGTATGGTTCAGGTGGATGACCACAGTTTTTGTCAACAGAGAAAAGCAGCTGGACTGCACCAGCCCTGCTGAATTGCAAGTCAGCTCTGTGGTGGGTGGCAGTAGGCAGGTGCTATCACAATACTGTAGAGCAAGCACAGGCGTGAGGCAGCATGTGCACAAATATTGGGGTAGCCCCTTTTGACAAAGCATGACCTGTGGGCCTTTAAAATCTAAGCTGATCAGACAGACCTAATTTCAGGGCTTTATGCGGGTGACCTGAGGTTGTAGAGTGCATCTAGCACAGACAGAGGGACGAAGGGCTGATCTTGCCGGGATTTGAACTTGTGGTTCCAGGGAGTCTGGGCATTTCAAACCTAATCATAAACCACCATCTCTTGCCACATTAATAATTGAATTCTCTATGAATAGAGAATTGGAGCTACCAGTTCAATATTTAGGAATAACAGTCTGTCAGTATATGGGGAAAGTTGCTAGGTTTAAATTATGTGCCCCTAAGGAACTGAAAGAAAGCTTGAGAAATGGAGGCACTTTACAATCACATGGACTGCACAAGTAAACATCCTGGAAATAGTCTGTCCAGGATAAGCTATTTATTTCCTAAACTCCCAGGAGAGGTTTCTACAGGAATATTTTGAAAACTAAACAAAAACTATTTTGAGATATTTGTGGCTGGGCAGAAAAAAAAAGTTCTCAGTCCTTTATAAACATAGAAGAGGCTAGACCAACCCTTACCTCATTTTGAATATTAGTAGTTAGTTTTCAAACTAGTGGCCTTGTGGCTTGGTGAGCAAACCCACCAGGTCAGCCATACTGTACCTTGCAGAGCTCGGCAAGCCAGTTCCTTATATAGCACAGAGTGGAGAGTGATGTCTTGACATAGTGTTGCAATGTTTGCACTGTCCTTTTGTGTCAGTGGGACATAATATTGCCTCTCCCAGCAAGGCAGTGATGCAAACAATGCTGTGCAGTATGAACGTGCAGGAGAAGCTTTTTGGTGGGTCTGAGCATAACTGACATCTTTTCATTGGACCCCTTCGAAAACTCCTGGCCTTGGCTTCCAGCTTCTGCTTTGCCCTCCTTGCCATGCTTGCCCTCACTTGCTAGTGTACCCATTTCATGGCATCTCACAGTCTACCAGTGTTGTCTGTAGCTGCATCATCTTTATGCCTACTTTCCATGGCTTTTTCCTACAAACCTCTTAAAAAATAACCTTCCCACTTCCTGCAAATCCATTACTTGCAGTTTCCTCTAGTTCCTTGCCAAATGTTCTCAAGATATGAATTAGGAGATTTGCAAGTTGGTTTCACTGTTAGCCATGGTTTCTCTTATGTCCTATGGATTTGGCTTTTTATGAATTGGTGGCAGGATGTTACAGAGAACAGGAAGGACACAACTATGCAGAGATTAGACAGAAAAGATTCCAAAATTAATGTAAGCATGTGTTGTTCAGTAGACCAACTGCAGTGATGATATTACCTTGGCCTTGGTATACCTATAGGCTGGACATGAAACACCTAAGCTCTAGCATGAGTGGCAACTTGAAGGCTTTTTTCATATTTCAAAGAATGACAGATATTATGCCCTGCCCTCACACCTATTCATTATGAACCGTTCCTTCACTAAAATTACATTCCTTGCTATGACCATCTTTCTCCTCAGCAATAACTCCATAGGTCTGCATCCAGCTGTTTGGTCTACGTTTACGCACCATCCTGTATTTGGCTGTGTGATGCAAGATGGCACACAATTCTAGCAATATTATTATGCAACTCCATATATTTTGCATCAAACATCCCACTGCTTTACATTTATATCTTGAAAGATTCTTTTGTTGATCTCGTTTTAGGAGATAACTTCATCTCCCTTTCTAAATTTGTTCCAAAAAACCATAGGAAATGATTTTAATATTTTTACTGCATTCCCTTGTGGGAAACATTAATTATTAATATTTTTACTTCCAAAACTAACAAAAGTGGGAAAAACAAAACCAGCACAGTGTTTTGTTCAAATTTCAGCCCTTTCATTCCAGTTCAAATGCACAAATTCACTTCAGAGACATGGGGGCCTCATCTGGAAGAGGACAAAATTGGAATTATTTTTCAGTTTACCAAGGAATAACATACATACAGGAGGGCAAAAAGAAGAAGAAGAAATTAAGAGAGGGACACAAAGATGAAAATGCTTTCCTAAATTTAGAGCCATGTGGAAAGAATAAATCAGAAGAAAGATTAAAGGAATGGGCAAGGCAAAGGAAAAATAAAAAAGAAAGGAAATTAAACTGTATTTTTTAAATTATTTAGAAGACTTAGGCCCAGATTATGAGTTGTTTATGGATGAAACCCCATTAAAATGCAAATCTGATTCAAATATCCATAAACTATTCTTCCTGTATCTGAGTTTTTTGTATAGGTGAGTGAAGCAGGAGTTTGATCAGGCTGAGCTCAGTGAAAACAGGAGTGGAACATCTAATTTATTGACATGAAGGCTGAAACCAGCAAGGAACCTCATCATGAACTAATCTCTGCAGATGTAGTGCTTCCCTTGGTCTTTCAAGCATTATGGTACAGTGGGGCATGCAAAAGGAGCAGA